CACAGTTTGCTCTTTAAATCTTTTCCTTCTCTTCACTAAGGCTATGTTACTATCATCAGAATATTTGAATATGTAAATACATGAGAAATTTAAGCCATTCCTCAGATTCCCAGTGAACTTCATATTTGTACTACGCTGGGGAGTCAGATGCCCCTGGAGGAAAAAGAGTGAAGTCAGTATTGTGTTTTTCTGGGATTTGATGTATTTCCTGATCAACCTTTATGTTGTGGTAGGTCATCAACAAATGCTTGATGAAGAAATAAATGAATGTGAGAATGGATATTCTTGTACTACCCTTGGAAATCTGCTCTAAGCCCCTTTGCAAGGATGACAGAGATCTTTCTTCTTTCTTAGTCTGAACTCAGTGAGACTGCTACTCGCTCTTGTGCTCATTCTTGCTTTCACTCTCTGAAAATCTCATTTTCTTCTCGTTCTTTTGCATAGTGTTTGTGCAATGGTTGTGGTAGTTTGAAAGAAGACAGTGTTCTAGACAGGTGCAGTGAATGTTGGGGTGGGCCGCACCCATCACCTCTGGTCTTTGGCTGGCAGAAGCCCTAGGCCTGACCTGCTGAGTGTGTAGACAGCTGACTGCCCTTAGCTAAGTCCCACCCACCCATCTCCAACATCCTGCCCAAGGGCTTGCATTTTTCCTATGTGTAGACTTCACCAAAACATTAATGCTCAGTATAAAACTCTCTGAGTTAGCACAAGTTGGACATCTAGGTAGAACCATCCTAATGGGACAGCCTTAGCCATCAAGGTGACTAACAAAGCCCAGCTTCTGCTCTATCCATCTCCTTTCTCACAGGTCCCAGGAGTACTCCTCAATAAACTTCCTGTTGGGGAAATTAGCCTTGTAGTTCCCTCTGTGGGAAACACCACCTGTTTGTTATTTTAAAAATTTTTACTTTACCACAGCTTGAATTACATTAGATATGGTCTAGGTTTTATTCCTTAAGTCTAAGTTAGTACTGTTTTACCATAATGAGACCAGGGGGCCTAACATGGAAATTAAGCCTGCTATTATGACTTAGTGTAATTATTTAGACAGTTAAATTCCACACAATTTTTTGTGTCCTAGGGAAGTGGCTTACCCCTACTCTTTCACTCACCCACACCCTAACATGACTCAGCTTTTCATTGTCAAGCCCACAAAAACAGTGGCTTGTGGTTTCAGAACTGGAAGAAAAGAAAGGCCATTACTATCTTGGAAGTAATTTGAAGTAAGGTGATTGTCTTTCAGAAGTACAGAGACATGATTTTAAAATGCGTTTCTTTGGTTCCTAACGTACCTTTGGTTCCTAACATATCTCCAAAGAGTCAAAGCTCAAAATATGTTGGTGTCTCACTTCTTCCTTTCCTATTCTCCATGTCTCTCTACATAAAGTTTCCATAATTAGGAGCTGTGGTCAGATCTACCCCACTTCCTGTTTTATTTTTCTTAGCTTAGAAAACAAGATATTTTTAGAAAGGTGAAATAAAGAGGACTGATTTCAAGTTCAACTGTAAAAATCAGATTTGTTCATGACGAGCCTTGTCCCTCTTGTGGTGGACTTCCCATTGTGACTTCTGCTCTGCTCTGGGACCTCTGTAGCACAGGTCCAGCCTCTTGCCCTCTGTCTTCAGCAGCCTATCTCTTCTTCTTCATCTAACTTTCTCTGTTATGCTGCTTTTAGTCCCTAACTCAGAATCAGCCTGGCTGCCTCATTTTTCCACTGCAAGTGAAAGTTTTCTGTTTTTCAGTTCATGGCCCGTGGCTAAGTTTGCCCTCTCAGGAGACAATATTGCCTGGCATGCATAAATGATTAGTAAACATTTAACAGAAGGAATGAGTAAATGAATAAATGCCATATAGTGCCTTTCTTACCTTCTTATCTAAAGTATGTGTCTTAACGGGGATCCGATGAAGACAGACTCCATTGCAGCATGACCCAACCAGATGAGTTGGCAAAAGAACCCCATGGCAAGTAGGTATCAGAGCTAGTGCACTAACAACCATGTGTTTCTGATGCTTTGACACCTGGGTCCTCGCCACCCCTGGAGAGCCTGCCCCTCCCGAGGACAGCCAGCTCCTAGAGGTAGCAAACAGTAGGAGCTTACTACTGTTAGCACATCTTTTATATGTAAACCAGTCCTAGGTCAGGTGCCTCTCCTCCTGGACTCTTACAGGGTCCTCACAATGTGGGCCACCATCCACAAGCCCTAATCACTCCAGACCATATTTCAGGAAACTAAAGATATCACCTCTGCCTGAGAGCCTACAGAAATTATCAAGTTTCTCATCCTTCCTTGCCCACTCTTTCCAATGGAAACTATAGCGAAGACATTGCCGCACTTTCCCATTGCTCCAGTTGTTTCCTGCCTGATCCCAGGGCTTCCCGCTTGACCTTGCATGGCCTTGCTTCTTCCCTCCTCTAGGGCATTAGATGACAGATGATCCTGTCAATACAGCTGTTTCCTGACAGGATTGCCTCATTACCCGAGTTACAATAAAAGTTACATTTTAAGAAAGTTATCTCAAATACTTTTCCAGTTGGACTGTGAGCTTCCCATGCTATTTTGAGGAAGACCCAGGAGCAGTCCTTTCCCTTGCCTTAAGTTCTGACAATTGCAGAAATGACAATTATGTAGAAAGGGTTAACAATAATAATAAAACTCTACTTAATACATGTTACCACCTGGGCACTTCAAAACCACCTCGTGAATTATTGTGTTTTGTTTGACTGGAAATTCAAAGATAGCAAGTACCTTTCTCATAATCATCAAGCCATGTACATGCATGAAGTAAGACTCAAACACAAGTTTTCTCATCATCTCTCTGAGTCCTGCCCTGCCTGAACTCCTTCCTCCTCTCATAGTCTTCCAAATCTGCCAACATGTTTTCCCATATTTTTCTTGCTTTTTTACAACATGATCTCTTCCTTTGTACTTATAAAAAAAGGGGAGGGCACCTCTGTCAATGAGAACCAATGAATAATTCCATGATGAGAAAATAGATGAGATAACCTGAAATATTCTAACAGTACTATGACTCAGGGGTGGGAAAGGTAGCTCTAGGAAGAGATTACTCAGAGACAGGACAGGGACTAGAAATGGCAGAAGTTTAACACACTACGTCTGATCTTTAATATATGGGTGAGAACCTTTAGAAATCTCTGCTTGCTAATGGCATTCCATTTGGTCCCCAGAGCTACAAAAAACAGGCTTGGCAGTGAGGAAGACAGGGAAAATACCTGGTAGCTTTGGAGAACCACAAGCTGAGAAAGAATAATTCAATTCCATACCATCATAACCTAACAAATAAAAATACAAATGCTGTATAATAAATCGATATTTATATTGAATGTCTTCAAGCAGTAAAATATATTGTTGGGTGCTATGATTTATCTGGTCAGCATTGACTGCAGGAGGGCAGTTCATGGAAAATAGCTGATAAATTAACCCAATATTGAGGAAAGCACGGTTCCCAGATCCTACTAAAATTTGGAGTCCTACTACTTTAAGCAAAACAGAGGAAAAGTTGGGAAAGAGGGAGGAGAGGAGAACAAGTGAATCAAATGATTTAGGTACTTAATAAGTGATCAGTGTGGGAGTACGGAGAGAAGAAGATGGGATGCAGGTCTCAGAGCAGTCAGCAAGGTTTTGGAAGGTGCCTTTCAGGGAAGGTGATTGGCAGCTTCTAGGCATTTCCAGGGAAGGTAGTAAGAAGCAGCAGCTTGCACGGCTGGAGGATCTCAGCTGGACATCAGGAACAATTCCTGACTCTTGACGTCAAGGATGGGTTTACAGGGCCACAGGGAGCTTTCTGGTACACGCCTGTCCTAGGGATATCATTGTTCAGCTGTCGGGATGACTCTATGCAGCCCCGGGATGGGCAGGGTGACCCTCAGCTACTCGGCCGTTGTGGTACCCGGAGGCACACCACACTCCGCTGCTTTCACAGCCCCATTGGCAGAAGCTGACTCCCCACCCAGGGCTGTGGAGTTTTCCCCATGGAAAGGAACAACCAGGCCTTTGACTCTCCGTTCCCCACTTGGACCAGCCCTGATGTGCACATCTGTGGCTTTTGAGCTCTTTAGCACTTTGCCACTTTTCTTCAGAGCCAAGGGCCTCCTGGGAACAATGTAGCATCTGTCTGTGGACAGTAAGGGACTGTGAGCCAGAGAGTCTCAGCCAGACTCCTCCTACAGCCCACACGAGTTGGACTGCACACCCCATCTGCAGCAATCCAGGGTCAGCCAGCCTCAGCCTGCCTCAGCGCCGGGTAACCCCACCCTCACCCAAGCCCCATGCTTTTCCACAGGGGACTTCCTAGCTCCTCGGCTGCATTTGTACCCACCCTCGCCCAGGCTGGCTTCCAACCCCCACTCATCCCACCCACAGCGTGAACAGAGATGCATTAGTGGCTTATCCCTGATCCTGAGCAGTGGGTGCTCACTGGCGAGGCACACACAACACGCTTGGGCAGCAGGATATTTACTAAAGGACTGGCCTGCAAAGAGATGCCAGGCTTTGCCTATAATGTTACTGAGTTCTATTTATTGTGTGGGTCGTTGACTTACATGGGGAATTGGAAATGTTAAATAAGCATCATTTTTACACGGTCTGTTTCTGCCGAGTTAAGAAACTTGGGGGCATCATTTAACTTCTGGCAAAAGAACCAATTTCGGAAAGGCGTTTAAAACCACCCTTTTGTTCTTGGCCCTGAGTCAGAGAGGGACTTGTGCCTGTGAAAGAAGGGAGAGTTTCAATCCTTAGATAACCCAAATGAGCACAAGCTGTGCTGTGCGAACCACATGCCGTGTGTAAATTCAGCATTAAGGACCCAGCAGAACAGTCTCTTTCTAGGAATGCCTCTCCTTCACAGAGGTATCACAGTATTTGCAAAGTGTCCACTGAAGTCAGGAGGGTGACACAGTACGAATGCACATGGATGGATCATGGAGCAGTGGATTAATCTATCCAGTAGGAAATTAAGTGATAGAGAGAGAGAGAGAGAGTGCATAGGAAATTGGAAAATATAAACAATGAGATTTTAAGGAATGAAGTGGATATCTATCATCTGTCTGTCTGTCTGTCTATCAGTCTGGGTGTGTGTTTGTATATGTGTGTGTGTGGTGGGAAGGCCTGGTGATCTTCTTGTTTAGTATCTCTGAGGCTTAAATATCCCCCTTGTTATTCAACACAAAGCAGATATGCAGCAACGAGCAGACACATCAAGGAGAAGTCAGAGTTCCTCCTTCGGTGTCTTTTCCTCGGATTCCTGATTTTCTTGCTGAAAAACAACAAAGACTGATAGTGAGATTGGGAATCCACTTTTGTTTTTACACTTATAAAACTGAACCGTGTGTTTGTTCCCAGAAGTCCTAAATTCATCTTAAGTTTTTATCTCATGAACTCTTTTACATGGGATTAGATTTGTTTCCCATTGTGTCTTGAACAGAGTGACAGAATCTTGAATTCAGTTCCTTTGAGGAAGCAGGAAGTTAATGTGGCTCCACCAAGTTTGCACAATCAGGGTGGGGTCTTTGGATCATGGAGTAGTGGATTATCTATTGCATTCAGGGATGAGCGTGTTGCTAGGAGGTGGGATCTGGCTGAAAGTTGGGCCTTGGAGGTGTGACCTGAAAGGGTGTATTCTTGTCCCCAGATCTTCCTTTCTTTTTCTGCTTTCTGGCTGCCACAGGTTAGGCAACTTTCTCTCACTAAGAGCTATCGCTGCACTATTTCTAGAGCAAACCTGATAAAGAGTGAATGCTCTGAAAACCACTAACCTATCTAAGCCTCTGCTCCTCTAAGTTGTGGATCTTAGGTATTACATCTCATCAAGTCTAGCAGATTTTTCCCAAAGTGATTTTCTAGTTCTATTCCCATAACTACGTGCTCAGAAACATCCTTTTTTTTGTTATTTAGTACAGAGTCTACATGGTCTCCCTGCACAGATCGGACTCTAGTGATTCTCCTGTTTTCAGCCTCCCAAGGGCTGGGAGGTGTGCGCCACTATGCCCAGTCTGAGTCACCATCTCAGCACACCTCAAGGTGGGGCCGACACAGCAGGCCAGGGATTGAACCCCAGTCCCCGCATCTGCCTAAACAGGTACGTTAGTCCACTGAGCTATCTGACCGGCCCTTCTCACAAGCATCTTGACTCTGACCACCACTTACTCATGGTTGTGCTATTCTAGTCATTAAAATTCAGCAGAGCGCAAAGAAACAGTGAGGAGTTAGAGATATAGAGAAGAGCAAAAGGCAGTGTGCTTTTCTTGTCATCTTACGCTTACCAGCAATTTCTCTTTCATGAATCCATCGCAGAAGCTTTGTACCTGATCGACTGTCACTTCCACTATGGGCAGGGTGTCCCACTTATCGTCCAGAGTCCGGTAAATGGCCAAAGCTGGCAGCTGAGACATCTTTAGTTTGAAATAGGAGATCACATTTCTATTTTCCATTACACCACTGTCCACTAGAATGAAGAGAACCTGCATTTGGAGACGTTTAGAAGGCAAAGATCTCGCTGAGGTCCCGAGGAGAGAAAGGTGCCTTATCATTGCTGTAGTGTACACTGTGTAAGTTTAGGGTCTGTGCCCCACAAGGGAGATGTCAGTGCTGGTGTTGGTAATATGAGCTTTTTATTGTTTTTTGCTGGCTTTGGTATTTTATTCTCTGTGGTCAGATTTATTTAATTATAAGAACTTATTTTATATATATATATATATATATATATATATATTTTTTTTTTTTTTTTTTTGCAGAATTGGGGATTAAACTCGGGCCCTTGTGCTTCCCAGGAAGCTCTTATTCTACTGAGCCATCTCCCCGGCCCCAAGAACTTATAATTTGGTGATTAGCTAAGAGAGGAAGTATAGGCTAGTAGTTAAAGGCAGAGCATTGCACAAGCTTTACACGCTGTTGCTGCTCCTTCCGAGCTCTGTGACTGTGCCAATGTTACTCACTCTGAGTCTTGGTTTTTCTATTAGTAAATTTTTTTTTTTTTTTGGCGGAACCGGGGATTGAACTCAGGCCCTTGCACTTGCCAGAGAAGCACTTATTCTACTGAGCCATCTCCCCAGCCCCATTAAATATAATTTTTTGATGTATACGCTTAATGACTATAGTATAGCTTGCACAACATAGTGTTTGATAAATAATATTTTACAGATATATCTAAAGCCCCCCAGTGGATGCCTAAAACTGTAGTTATGATATATGTATGATGTGTATTTAGGATGCATATGTATAGTTTGATTATATCTGATATATGTGTCTTTGTTTCTTTGTTTTTTTAAATTAGTTTTATTGCAAAACAAATAGCAATGAGACAGTTTCAAAACTGATTAGTAAGACAGTTTCAATAATTAATACATTGCATATTGTTGTCTTCGTAGTGGTTATTCATAGTATAAGATGCAGATGTGATATCCTGTCCAAACACTTTTAGTACAAATTTTTATTCTCATTGAATTAAGAGAAAGTAACTATATCTATCCTAACTATTTTGTGTATACAGATACAAAATGGTCCTTCATTTGTATCCCCTTTTTTTCTTTAGCTTTGTCAGAGATACTATGTTTCTTTGTATGCATACATACTTATATTATTATAAAAAGAATAATTATAACAATATGCTATAATAAATGTTATTATGAATTCTTTCTAGAATTTTCTTTTTGTTATTTTTAGACCACTACTGGCTGGAGATAACCAAGATCATAGGATCTATGGATAAAGGGAGGCCACTGTAAGTTATTAAGTCAAACCTTCTACCCAAAGCATAAATCTTGGTAATATTCTTTTTTTGTTGTTGTTGTTTGTTTGTTTGTTTTTTGTATTTTAGGGAAGGGTCTACAGGGTGTTCAGGGTCTCACTACTAGATCTGACACATAGTGAGTCTCCTGTTTATAGCCTCCCAAGAACTGGGATTACAGGTTTATGCCATCACGCCCGGTCTCAATTGCTGTCTCAGTGGCAGGGCTGGGCACGGCAGGCCCGGGGATCAAAGACCTGACCCCTGCGCCTTCCAGGCGCTTTAAGCCACTGAGCTATTTGGCTGGCCCAATCTTGGTCATATTCTAATCTTGGTAATTATTGCCATTCAGCAGCACTGAACGCTTCCAAGGTTGAAGACCAGCCGTCACAGGGGCAGCTTATTTTAGGATCAGATCACTTGCATCAGTAGAAAGCTTCTAGTTCAGTGCAGTAGCCATGACGCAGCCAAAGTTTTGCTGCTTCAGAGACAGAAGACAAAACTTCGCAAAGGAGAGAAAAGAGAATATACATTTACTGGGCATCCGGTAGGCACCAAGTACGTGATAGGTGTTTACATGAGAAATCAGCCCTGACATCTGCTCCACATTGTAAGGTATTATGGCAAGCAGTAAACAAATTAAGACTAATAGATGATTTTATTTCCAGTGTCATTTTGTTCCTATTTTCTTACTGTCTATCAATGCAGTAAAAAATAAGTCAACCACCATGAGAAGATTTTATATAGGCCTTTAGTCATACAGAACACAACATTTTAAATTTCAAAAATGGGGTCTTGTTATGTGCAGCTCTTTCTTTGTTATCTCATAGCCATATTGTTTTGCCCACTCAGCTCTTCCTGGCCCCACCTTCTTCTTCCTAGTGCCCTGGTCATTTGCCCTGAACAAAGATGCTGATTTCCCAACTCACCTTCCCCCGGAAGAGCTTGGCTGCCTCCTGGTAATGACGCATGTGTTCTTCATACTCCGGGGAGGCCTTGTCCATCATCAGAAGAAGGTGAATCTCAACCATGGCATTAAATAGGCCTAGCACTGTCTGGAAATTGAAATGTGGTATAGCAGAGTCAGAGGGAAGGAGGGAAGTACAGAGAGAGAGAGAGAGAGAGAGAGAGAGAGAGAGAGAGAGAGAGAGACAGAGAGACAGAGACAGAGAGACAGAGAGGGAGAGAGACAGAGAGGGAGAGAGAGAAGGAAAGAGAGACACAGAAAGACAGAGAGAGATGGAGAGAGAGAAGGAAAGAGTGAGGGAGAGAGACACACAGAGATGGAGGGAGGGAGAAGGGAGGAGGGAGACAGAGAGAGAGAAAGAGCTGACCCACAGACAGTGCACAAGATAACCAAGGTTTACTATTTGCAGCTGCTAACTTTTGGAGTAACCTGTTACATAGCAATAAACAATTCATACACCACAAAACATATTAGTCATTTTTTCAACTCCTCTTTATGTTGCAAGACTAGTCAGATAGAGACATTTAAAAGGTGGCCTTTGGCTACATCTGATTCCAGCATAATTCTTGTGTGTGTAATGTACACAAGGCCCTGATTCTGATGCTCTATATTCAATAATTGAACCCCCAGTGTCCCAGTTTTTCAAATGAGGAAATGGAGGTGTAGATAGATTGTAACAGTCACAGTGACATAACTGTGGCTAATACTAGGTAGTCTGGTACCCGAATCCAAGCTTTTGGTTGTGGACGGGCTGCCCCATGGGACCCACGTATGCCAGCTCAGTCTTGGTGTGGCTGATACAGGCCTCCTCAGGCCAGTATGCACGTGAGTTCTTCAGGAACCCAGAGCCCTGGTTCTTCTTGGCTAATGGCAGACAGGCCTCCCTGGACAGTTGCAACCAATTTAGAGTGGGATAGCTCTGAGCCAGTGTAAAAGGCAAAGAGAAAGGGTGCGACTGTGGCACTTGTTCCTTTCCTTTTACTTTCCTTAAACTGTGCCGCAAGTGTATTCTAAGAAACTCCCATTGCTTTTCATTTCTCCTAAAAGCAGAAAGTGTTGCTGTGAGATCTGCACGTACCCGGGAAGGGAGAGTACGATGCATTCATTGCTGACCGCTGGTTTCCAGCACAGCAGTTTCTGAGCTGATGTGTATCATTAGGCTCCCAGAAGAGTGTGGTTGGAAACTGCTAGGTAGGGTTCTCCCCTTGGGTTTTCCCTAAATATGTCTCCTAAGAGTTTAAGATTCTACAGTTTGGAAACTGGATAATAGATAATTGACTTGTGCTTTACCAGATTCTGCTACAGAGTGTCGGCTTTTCTTTTCTTTTCTTTTCTTTTCTTTTCTTTTCTTTTCTTTTCTTTTTTCTTTTCTTTTCTTTTCTTCTTTCTTTCTTTCTTTCTTTCTTTCTTTCTTTCTTTCTTTCTTTCTTTCTTTCTTTCTTTCTTTGTATTTTAGTACAGGGTCTATAAGATCTCACTATGTAGATTAGACTCGTAGTGATCTGCCTGTGTTTGGCCTACCAAGAGCTGAGATTACAGGTGCATGCCACCACTCCCAGTCTCAATCGCAGTCTCAGTGTGCCCTGCGGGCAGGGCTGGCACAGCAGGTGGGGATTAAACCCCAGCCCCTGCGTATGCCAAAGAAGGCACTTTAACCCACTGAGCTATTTGGCCAGCTCTTGGATTTTTGTCTCTACAGCAGAGGTAGAGTATAGTTTGTAGGAAGCTTCAGGAGCTAAGAGCTAAGATGTCAAGAGGTACACTTGCCGTAGCAGAAGGGACCGGATAACATATTAGCTTATTAATCGTGACAGACACAGCCTGGTTTTTCATCTTGAAGCCAAGTCTAGCATGTGGCCACTAAAAGTGCACAGCAACTAAGGGCAGCGTTGTGGTTTTTTTGCAAACCTCTGTGCCAGCAGCAGGTGGGAGAGAGCAAGAGCAGAAGGGGTCTCTGTCCACATGAGAAAACTGTTGTGAGGAATTCAATTTGCAATAGAGGTTAGACTTACTTCTCTCAAGAAATTGTTACCTAGTTGACTCTTCATGTGATTTGCCATCTCTACTAATGTGGAACTTTAAAGAGATACTTCGCTGTTGGTGAGATGGCAGCTGGACCAAGCCTAAGAATGCAAGGTCTATGAGTGTCTTGCTGGCCTCCAAGGTTCCAGTTCATGATGACAAATTACCCAGGGACAATAAGATTGTCTTTTTTGGGCTCACTTCAGTCTGGACAGCTCACCATGGCCAGAATGACAATGGTGTAGGCAAAGAATATCTTCTTGGTTATTGCTGCCAACATGGTGTACATGCAAGTGTCCGTGTCCGTGTGTGTGTGTGTCCGTGTGTGTGTGAGTGTGTGTGTGTGATCTGTCAAAGTGGAAATGGAGTTGCCACTCTGCAGAGATAAAAGTAGTATAATTTGATGAGTAGGAAATGGTGTGCTTTTTTTTTTTTTTTTCCCTCTGTACTGTGGATCGAACTCAGGACCTTGCGCTTGCCAGCCAGGTGCTTAGGCTGCTGAGCTATATATCCAGCCCTGGATATTGTGCTTTCAATTGAAGGCTGTATGAAGGACAGAAACACCAAAGCACTGAGCCCCGCAGACGGATCATGACAAAAGTGGGTGCGAGTGCAGACGCCAACCCTAAAGCTCAAATTGCTAGCCCTAAGGCCTGGGGGAAGTCACTGAGCTTCCCTAACTTCCATTTCCTTCAGTGTAAATCAGAAATAGACACGATAGTCTAACATCTTACCAGCCTAATGCTGTGCTTTAAACTGTGCCTTTTCTGTTTTTGTATCATGTGACCTAGAATAATGTCACTGGAGTCATGAATACTCTCTATAAAATGGGCATAATAAGGGTTGACCAGATAGCTTAGCAGACTAAAGCACCTACTTAGGCAGAGCGCAAAAGCTGGGGTTTGATCCCAGGCACCACAAGCCATGCTGGCCCTGCCAGCCAGGTGCTTATGCTGCTCAGCTATATATCCATCCCTGGATATATATCCAGCTCTGGGAGCACTGAGGCAGCAACTGAGACTGGATATGGTGGCATATGCCTGTAATCCCAGCACTGGGGAGGCTGAAAAAAAGAAGACTTTTAGAAACTTTCATAGAAAATTTACAAAACTATGTCATAGAAATATGTAATCACAGGCTGGAGAGATGGCTTAGTGGAATAAGCACCTCCCTGGCAAGCGCAAGGATCCAAGTTCAATCTCCGGTTCCGGAAAAAAAAAAAAAAAAGAAATATGTAATCAGTAGGTTTTATTTTTTTAAAATTTCATTTGTGTAGTAATGTACTTTTTCTGTATTTTGTAAATGTATTAGGCACTCTTGCTTTAGGAGGAAAATGGAGCTTCAACACTGACTGCAGTCTAGTTTGAGAAATGGACTAGAGAGAGAGCTGTTGAGGCTTTTACTGAGCGCTTCCAGGGAGCAAAATTATGAAGTCTCTGAATGAGTTCCCCTCACTTTGCATTTTGCCTCTATTGCTTGTTAGTCATGTGATAGGTCACTTAACTCCACAGAAGAGTCGTAGTAAGAAAGGTAATGTAAGTAGCATGGTAGGTGTCAGCTGAGACAGTGACTAACATTACTGATCAAAGCATCAGGGTCTGGGATGAGAGGATTTCTGCTATGAAGATTAACGTCCTTCCTGACACAGGGACCCGGGGGACGGTGTGAGGGACGGCTGCTTACCACGGAGTTGTACTCTGTCACCAAGCGGAGGCTGTTGCTCCTGATGAAATGGCTTAATTTGGAGGCTTCCAAGCTCTCAACCTCTTCGCCTTCCAACTTCAGTTGTTCGTTATCCACCTAGCAGCACACAGAAGGACAGAACAGCCAGGGCTCGTCTTTTTTTCAGTAAGTGAGAAATGTGATTAGAGGACCACGTGGGAGAGGAGCTGAGAAAAGCTCCAGAGACAGAAAAGCAAACGCAGGATGTTCCCTGCCCTGGAGGGGATTTGTCTTTTATGGTTTATTTTTCTATAAAGCAATTACTAATATATTGAATCATACATTTTCTCACTGGTTCTGCCTATTTAAAATTTAGGTTTTCTTCATTCCTAGCTCAGTTTTGAATCGGCCGAATACTTTATGTCATTCCTTGTCCCCTCACTTTTTGGCCTGGAAAGTTGCACAAACCTTCAGTATTTTCTTAGAGATAACTGGAGTGCATTGTCCAACATATATTTTCAGACTCTATTATTAATTGGCAGTTTCACCATTCCTTTGAATTAGGGAATTCAAATATGCTTTGTGTTCTTCCAACTCTGTTTCTTCATGTTATTGGTGATTGTTATTGTTTGCTTTTTCCCTGAATCTTACATTCTTGTTATTGCTCTAGACTTAGCATACATTTCATTTAGGAACACATTTGCATGTAGCCTCCCTTCGTTCTTTCCTGCATTCTCGGGCTCCTACCCCGGATTTTTTTTTCTCTCTCTACTTGGAGAACAGCTTTAAGTATTTCCTTTAGTACAAATTAGTTCTGTTGAATGATATATTTCTTCAGTTTGGTTGTTTACTATGTATATGGATTTCAACTTTATTTTTAAAGCTTGTTTTTGCTGGTGATAGAACTTTAAATTGGTTATTTCCTTTTAGAGTCTGAAAGACACGATGATTTGCGTTTGGGGTTCTGTTTTTATTGAGAAATCAGTTGTGACGCTTATTGCTGTCCCTTTGAGATGACTTGAAGGGAATTTCTCTCTCTCTCTCTCTCTCTCTCTCTCTCTCTCTCTCTCTCTCTCTCTCTCTCTCTCTCTGTCTGTCTATCTGTCTCTCCTCCCCCATTCCTTTAAGATTTCTTTTTTTCCC